TTCTGTCTTGTTAAACTTTGCTATAATTGCTAGGGTGAGGTGATATCTCATTGTTGTTTTGGTTTGCATGACAGTAGGGAGTTTATTCACACTCAGGGGTGCACACGGGCTGTGTATGTGGTAAGTGGCAGAAGGGGAGTGTTGTGGCGAAGTTTGAGGAGCAACCAGGGGAAGTAGTGAGCGAACCACAGGGCTGGCTGTGCTGATGATGCGTGAGTGCTCACAGTGGGCATTGCACACCTCACTGGGGACTTGTGGACGTACTCATTTTCTATCCTCACCAATAAGAATGTTTGCCCCTAGAAGGGCTTGTGATGACAACAGCTATTAAAACACATTTTCCTCCACATGATTGGTTTCCCTTACTGTTCTTCAGGGCCTTTGCCAAGAAGCAGCAACAGCTGAGTGCCTTGAAGGTCCTGCAGCGGAACTGTGCCGCGTACCTGAAACTGCGGCACTGGCAGTGGTGGCGCGTCTTCACGAAGGTTGGCTGCGTTTTTTACTGGCTTTGGCTTTCTCAGTAGCAGTGTCTGATCAGTAACAGCCCTTGGAAGGAGATGTGGTGGTAAGCTGTTGGATTTTGTCATAGGTGAAGCCTCTCCTACAAGTGACTCGCCAGGAGGAAGAGCTCCAGGCCAAAGATGAGGAGCTGTTGAAGGTGAAGGAGAAGCAAACAAAGGTGGAAGGCGAGCTTGAGGAGATGGAGCGGAAGCATCAACAGGTGTGTGCCTCACTTCAGAAACCCACATGCTGCTGGCTGAGCAGGAACTGTGTGCACCTGTTCCAACTCACCCACAAATTCGACTTAGACACACTTAGGCACAGATCTCGTTCATAACCCAAGGGCTGCCTGTATTTAACACCCATTTCAGATTGGACTCCCAGTACTTTGACCTTCCTATACCTGCTTCTGAGAGGACTTAGAAAAAATGAAAAGGAGCTCTGGTGGCATAGTGCCTAAGGCACTTGACTGCTAACCAGAAGGCTGGTGGTTCAAACCCACCAACCACTCCTCCGAAGGAAGATTGGCAATCTAGTTCCATAGTGATACTGCCTCAGAAACCCAAGGAGGGGTAGCTGTGAGTCGGATCCGACTCGACATCAGTGAGTTTGTTTTTTTGTTTAGAAAAAATGAAAAGGATGAGTGCAGGCCAACACGTGCCCTTCTCAAAGCAGTTCTTGTGGACAAAACAGAGGCTTAGGAAATGATTGCCTTACAGTTGTGGTGCTCAAAGCTAAAAATAATGACAATGAAGACCAAAAATATTAGTTGATACCAGACAGGCTTTAATACTTACTTCATAGCATTTTCCCTTTCCTATTTTTCTAGCCCTTTATAATGTACCTTAATGGACAAAATATAGTTTTTCAAATACCATGAATGTTATTCGAGATAACATGACAACATGAGCAACCATAAAAGTTTGGTCTGTTTTATTTCACAGTAGCTGAAAGCGTATTTGAGCGTTGTTCCTGTGACGTTACATATTTTGAACTCCCGGTTTCTTTGGTAACATGTTGACCATGGAAATCGTGGGGGAAATCATGTCCTGGGCATTTGACTGTAATTGCAGCTTTTAGAAGAGAAGAATATCCTTGCAGAGCAACTGCAAGCAGAGACAGAGCTCTTTGCTGAAGCAGAAGAGATGCGGGCAAGACTGGCTGCGAAGAAGCAGGAGCTGGAGGAGATTCTGCACGACCTGGAGTCCAGGGTTGAAGAGGAGGAAGAAAGAAACCAAATCCTCCAAAATGAAAAGAAAAAAATGCAGGCACATATTCAGGTACCTGTGATCATTTTGGTTAGAATTCTGTTTTGACTCTTCCGGGTGGATCTGTGGAATAAACAGAAGCTAGGTGTTTAGATTCTTGTGTTCACTGAGGAGTAAAAGAACTCTGGGTGGTAAGGACTTACCTTGGAAAGATGACCATCCTTTGAAGCATATGTGTAATAGGTGTCCTTTAAACGCAGATTGATTATTGTGAGTAGGAATCTTCTGTTTTGATGTCGTATCCCACAGTGTGTGACGTGGTTCACAGTTAGAAGAGGCCCAGAGATCAGCAGCGTTCCGCAGAGGACTTCCCCTCTCTGTGTGTTGTCATTAGAAGTGCTCAGCACAGCCACAGAGGCAGCCAAAATTCACAATAAAGAACTTAGCCCTTCCCTGGCACTTACTTCCTTATTGAAATAGAAGCTGTCCTCACATGAAGCACAACTGTAAACTCAGGCAAATGGGACCAAGGTGGTCATCCTCTCCCTCCTAGGACATACCCTCCTTTTTCTCCCTGGCTCCTCACCTCCCTGTCTGATATGCTCTGTGGTCCCTATCTGCCACTGAACTTTATGGATCCAGAACCAAGCCTTTTTTTTCCACATCTCTCTCTTAATTTTTGTCTGACCTCATATCTTACCTTTGCAAAGTACAGAGAGTTAATTCAGGCATTTGTCACAACCACAAAACGTGTCATGTTATTTCCTTAGCAAATAGCCCACACTACCTGATGCTCCCCTTTCTTCCATTCTTCAACACAAACATCTTTCACATATCCCATAATAGCTTAACAAGACAAGACACGTTAGATCCCACAGTTCTAATTGTGGGACTTAATTCGGAAGATAAAGCTATGAAGCCATCTAATTACCCAACAATACAGGATTGTTAAACTCTGGTAATACAACATAATGCAAGACCTTGTCTCATGTACTTTGGACATGTTATCAGGAGAGACCAGTTTCTTACAGAAGACACCAGACTTTATAAAGTAGGGGGTCACCAAAAATAGAAGAAAAGCCTCAGTGAGATACACTGACACAGTGGCTACGACAGTGGGCCAAACTTGGCAGTGATTGGGAAGGTGGAGCAGGACCAGGACCGTTCTATCATTCTCAGGGTCGTTAGGAGTCAGACCTGACTCAGCGGTACCTGACAGCAGTACAGTGTAATTATTATAAATAAAAAGGTGTTTATTTTCATGGGTATTCATAATACACTAATTAAATAGTTGCAGAAAAAGTATGCACACAATATATAATTTAAAATGTTTCTATAACTTATAAATTTATATAGATGATTAATATCCAAAAGGACTAGAAGGATGGCTATTCACCAACAACTGTGAGTTATCCCTGAGGGCATTATCAGTGGTTTTTCTTTCCTCTTCGTTTAAGAACATTTGCTCATTTCATTAATAATATCTTACTCATGTAGGGGAAGGACATCCAAATTCTGCTCCAGATGCCCCCCCCCCCAATGTTTTTAAGCTCCAGACTTCACAGAGAATGCTTACATTTCTCTACTCTATTTAGAAAGACAATAATACGTCATTGTAGGAACTGGGCTTGTTTTGTTGTTGTTGTTTTGTTTTGCCTTTTCAACTTTTTATCTATATACTCTTTACCTGACTTTTTCAAGCTTCTAGGAGCTCTGGTGGCATAGTGCCTAACGCATTTGACTGCTAACCAGAAGGCTGGTGGTTCAAACCCACCCGCCCCTCCTTGGAAGGAAGATGGGGCAATCTACTTCTGTAGAGATACCGCCTTGGAAACCCAAGGAGGGGTCCTTAGGAGTCGGATCCAACTCGACAGCAGTTAGTTTTCAAGCTTCTAGTTTTTTGCCCTGTGAGCTTAATTTACTCTCTCCCTGTGACATGGTAAATTATTTCAAACACATTCTAAAAATATTTGACATTATTAAGTTATTATTAAATGCTGATTTTCCCCCTTGAGGAATTTCAGGCTCTATATTATCTATGTGGCCCTTAGAAGAGAACACAACTGTTTGGTCCCTTACTTTTTTTTTTCCTTTGCCTGTGAGGCCTTCCTTAAAGGATTTTTGATCTACCCACTTTTCAACCAGGAATACTAGAGCTGTTTTTTGGGTTTATTTTGTTTCTAAGGTTAATCTCCTGATTATAATATAATAAATAATAATGGAAAACCAAACGAATTCAAAATAACACATATAATCTCCTCCTACTTATCACCCCCATTACTTTTGTTATTTTTTTCCCACATATTACTCTAGATAAATATCATTTATTAATTGAAATTATACTGAAGAAATATGTTACCTGGTTTGTTACCTTAGGAACATGCAGTGTAGGGATGTAATAAGCAAAATCCAAACAGTGGATAACCATTAGACAAATGAACTGGTTTTTGAAAAAATAAAATGGCAGGGTAGGGTGTATGTTTGTGTACAGAAATATAGGGAAACTGTTCTGGTTACCTAGATGGATAGTTAAGAGACGGGCGTTGATGTGGGTGCCAAAGGGGCAGGGAGGCTGTAACTTCTGACCTCCTCTAACCCCACAAGAGGAAAACAGAATCACCATCAGTACCCTAAGGCCTAGTCCTGCAAAGCCAGACATGCCACCTCCCTCTAGTCCTTTCACCAACCCTGACACCAACTCTTCCTCCCGCGGCACCCACCACCTCTCTGCTGGATTCAATAATTCGCTGCAGTGACCACACAGAACTCACAGATTATGGGGTTTATTAGGGAAGCACCAGGCTACAATTCAAGTTCAGGAACAACATTCAGTTTTTCTCAGCCCACCATCTCTCAGCCAACAGTCTCCCTCCCAGCAGTGCATGTCTCTCGGCATCTCTTCCTCAGCAGTGCCTGTCTCTCAGGAGCGTGTTTCTCTCAGCAGCACGTCTTTTGCAGCCAGCAGTCCTAGAGATTTCTTCTGCCTCTAGGAGGCCTCTTTTTGAGCCTGGCAGAGTAGCCAAACTAACCAATCATAACATTAGAATTCTAAAGCACCTGAGAGATAGCGAACTTCCCAGAACATTGCTTTGTGCCACTCTCAACAGATATACCCCAGGTGGATAACTTTAACAATCAGGAGCTCTTCAATTGCTCACAGCAAATTCCACCATGGAGTTTACAAAGACTTATGGCTAGAAAAGCCATACTAGGTAATTTACTACACTGCATGTGGGTGAAGGGAAAATCGGTATAACAAAAGCATGTAACTGGCACAATATCACTAAGGAAAAGGAAGACATGGAGAGATGGCACAAGAAGAACAGACAATAAAGGTAAATATCATTGCATACACAATACTGCATTATCAGTAACAGCAAACGCTAATCTGTGAGTGGCTACAGAGGTAGACAGGTTAAGATCAGGTATGCATAGGCAGACAGGAATATACCACAAATGGGATGGCCTTAACAAACAGGAGTTTATTCTTATAATTTGGAGGCTTTAAGTCCAAATTCAAAGTGCCAGGCTCTGGGGGCTGGGTGAAAGCCCCTCAACCTTGGGGTCCAGCTCTGCCTCTTGCTCCCAGCCCACTGGAGCTAGAGGCGTTTCTTCACTCAGACAACTACTGTCTGCTGAGGCTGACAAGCAAAAAGGCACAGTTCCAATGTTACCAAACCACATGCAGGCCATTAATTTAAGTCCATTGTTAGTCCCAAGGTTGGCAGAGCATGGCAGGCTGCTGAACAACGACACGGCTACATGCAGGGTCCAAGTGTTCCATAAGCTAGAGACCATTCCCCAAGGCTTCTGCTTATATATAGGAAGCAGACCAGCTGCCCAGCCATTCAACCAGGCCCAGCCAAGTTGGCACAGAAACTGAACTACCATAGGAACCTATAGGAGTCTTAAGACATATTAATTATAATGTGTGAATTTATTTGGATTCTGATTTTCAGACAAACAAATGTATTTTTTTAAAAAGGTCCTTATCATTTAGAGATACAGCTTGAAGGTTTTACGGATGAAATGTTATGTCTGGGATTTGCTGCAGAATGATCTTGGGAGAGAAAAGGTAGAAGCATAGCTGAACTAAGATTGGCCATGTTGTTAAGGTGGGGCGATCAGTGTATGTGGGGCTCATTATGCTGCTCTGTGCGCTTATACATGTGTTTAAGTTTTTCACTATAAAGTTGGTCTTTTGCAAGAGTTTTATTCTAAAATTAAGCGTGAGTTAATTATTTAGCCAAAATTACCCTTGAAACTTTCTTAAATTGACTATAAATAGCGTACGTTGTTTTATATGTGCACCTATTTCAGTAATGTGTATCTGTCCACGTTTGTTACTTGCAATAGTGTACGGGATGAAATAAGAATAAGACATTGCTGTGGACAATATGTTTAAACACTTAGAATCCCACCTAGTTTGGTAACATGCTCCTGTTTAGAAAGGCACACTTGAAACTGAGGCAGCCCATTTCTCACACACCTACACTATTTGTATGTTTATTATTCTTTTTCTCTCCTCTTTTGGCCAAGCATATATAGTTTAATTCAAATAAATTAAATATGTGTTTGAGTATTCTACTATATTATTCATATTTTTCTTTGTCACTAATTATTATTCCAAAGTATTAATTTTAATTGCTATATATTATTCCATTCTCCGAATGTGCCAACATTTTAATTATCAAGATGTTTTTGTAGCATGTTCACAGTTCCCCAGTCTTACAAGTAACACTTTACTATGTCTTTTTATATACATCACGTCTGTGATTGTTTCTTGAAGTTGTTGGTTTAAAAGATAGGGTTCATTATCAAAGCTTGCTGCACTTTGCCATCTTGGCTTCCAGAAAGATTGACCCAGTTAGTACTTTCAGCTGCAGTGGATAAGAATATCTATCCACATTCTTGAGGGAAAGACAGTCAACAAGATGGATTGACACAGTGGCTGCAACAGTGGGCCTAAGCATTGCAAAGATTGTGAGGATGGTGCGGACTGGGCAGCGTTTCATCCTGTTGAATGTGGTGTCGCTGAGTCAGAGCCGACTTGGCAGCACGTGACAACAACGTTCCACGTCACTGCATTTTATCCTTTCTCAAATATCCTTGAAAATCAACATCAGCATCTCATTTTCATTTGCGTTTCTTTTATCATCGTGTGGTAGAATTTTGTGGGCAAAGGTGAGAGCTTGACTGTATGTTGTTCTTTGCAAGGACCTAGAAGAGCAGCTGGATGAGGAAGAAGGTGCGCGGCAGAAGCTGCAGCTGGAGAAGGTCACAGCGGAGGCCAAGATCAAGAAGATGGAGGAGGAGATCCTGCTTCTGGAGGACCAGAATTCCAAGTTTATTAAAGTAGGAGAATGCTGGCGTGAACGGCGCATTTTAGGAGATGGAAAATACTTACACTGATGCACTCACTGCAGAGTGGTCTCAATGGAAGATTGTCAGGAAGATTCTGGGTTCATTTAATTAATTTTCTCTTTAAGTCCCTACCTGTATAGTTTTCCAAAGATACAGAAACTATTTAATTTTAAAAATCCACCAAATATCCTTACAGTCTTTTAAACTTTTAACGTAGGTGTTTTGTACACATTATCACTCGTTAATGACTTGCTCCCCTCTGCTCACGCACTAATTCATCCAACACAGTGTAACTGTGACTGCCAGGCAGCTGGGCCCCATGTGCAGGTGTGGGCACCAAGATGAGTCTGTGATTCTGCCGTCTAGAACTATATAGTCTGGTAGGGGAAGTGGTACCAGTATTATTAGTTTTCTCTCTGGTCAAAGCAAGTTGACTTTTATAAGTCACCCCAAACCCAAGTTGTTATTTTGAGCTCTTTTTCTGAGCAGTCGATGTTTTCTGTTCAGGAAAAGAAACTCATGGAAGATCGCATTGCTGAGTGTTCTTCGCAGCTGGCTGAAGAGGAGGAAAAGGCAAAGAACTTGGCCAAAATCAGGAACAAGCAAGAAGTGATGATCTCAGATTTAGAAGGTTAGTGTGTGGGGCTAGAGAAATTTAGGATTAGGACATGTGGTATTTAGAGTTTACTGTACTACGTAATCATACACTAGCAGCAGTGTAAGGAGGTGATTACTAATACTGAAAGTCTTCAGTCTGGATTCAGCTATTTCAAATAGGTCTGGTATAAGATTTGTTTTATTTTTTAATTGCCTAGTCTTGTGGCATCTAGGATGAAATGGCATTAAAATATCTTCTAAACTTTCAATTTTTTAAGTTCAGGTACTATGGTAAAAAGAAAAACAAACCATTGCCCATTGATGGGCATATTTGGGACCTGAATGATGTTTTGAGTTGGTCAGCTCTTTGACTGCCCGTGTGCTCAGTCTGAACCTTGCATTCAGGTGCTCAGGTTTCAGTGCACAGAGAGACTAGCTACTGAACTCAAAACTGACTGGGACAGAGGAGAATCTGCTGAGGGTAATAGTGTATCGCTCCAGGGGCAAAAGGAATGTCGGGAAATGTAGGGTTTTTGTATAATGAATCATTGCTTTCTGCAAAAGAAATAATCAAAGGGGGGCAGTTAGAAGGAGCCCTGCAAGCCTTTCCTCTGAGCAGCCACTGGAGAAAGGAAGGGCACAGAGCACGGCTCCCAACTCCCTGGGGTCGTCGGAGCTCGGTTCAGGGACTCAAGGGACTTGACCGTTTTATTATTAAATAGAGGAGAAAAGCAGTGTGATTTTTTAAAAAGATTGTTTTTATTCTTATTACTCACTAAGGAAGGAGGACCAGTATGAAATTATTTTCATAAACCATATTCACCAGTATCTGGTTCTTCCCCAAGGAGACGCACACAAAGCCACGTGCCCGTTCTTCTCTCCCCTATTTGATCAGCATTCCTGTTGGGGACACAGAGGCATACATATGACACTGTGGTGAGGAAAGCCTTTGAGCAGAGTGGATCATAGGTGTTACTCAAGGAGCTCTGGTGGTACAGTGGTTAAAGCATTTGGCTGCAAACCCACCAGCTACCTCATGGGAGGAAGAAGGGGCAGTCTACTTCTGTAAAGATTTACAGCCTCGGATACCCAATGGGGGGTCACTATGAGTCAGAACCAATTCAGTGGCAGTGGGTCTAGGGTTTTTTTTTTGCAGAATTTCGGTGAGGAGTGCAGAAAAGATGCTTAATGCTCTCTTCTCACGTTCTCAGTCCGCTTTACTTCAGTGCTTGGGGACTGCAGTCTTTGTGGTTCAAAACAGATTCTCACTGAAGGAGGAAGGGGGTGGGGATGCCTGGCCTCCGTGGAGTCACTTTAAATACCTGGGCGCAGGATGGATTTGCTGGGGAAGGGTTCCATATCCCTCAGCCCTAGCCGTATGGTCTCCCTTTCCGTGCAAGGACATCCCATCTGCCAACCCCTTCCTCGACATTCCGTCCTCACATTAGCTCGATTTTAATGGGTTTCAAATGACTAAACAGTTTGCAACTATAAATAAATTCAGAGTTTATTCATATGGTATGTTGAAGAGCTGCTTGTATCTTGCCTTAAAGAACGCTTAAAGAAGGAAGAGAAGACTCGTCAGGAACTGGAAAAGGCCAAAAGGAAACTGGACGGTGAAACTACGGACCTGCAGGACCAGATTGCAGAGCTCCAAGCCCAGATCGACGAGCTGAAGATCCAGCTGGCCAAGAAGGAGGAGGAGCTTCAGGGCGCCCTGGCCAGGTCGGTGGTGGCCCGGGCTTCCCCACTGAGCATGTATACTGTGGGGCCTGTTTTCAAAAGAATTTGTCATGTCGGGTAGCATACAAAACCAAACCCCTAAGAGAATGATAATTGTTTTCTTGCTGTTGGGTACAACATGAGAGAAAAACCAAGCATGCAAGAAAACAAGAAAATCTCATACACTTCTCAATATTGATACTTATTCTTATGAAATCCTTGGACATTGACACCAGAACAAATGATTTTACATATCAGATGTTTCAGTTTCTGTGCATTACAGATTAATACGTTTGGGGCATTGACCAGTTACCATGGGATCGAGCTAGCCTCAGGGAGACCCATGTGTGTCAGAGTAGAACTGCCCCCCACAGAGCTTCCAACAGCCGATTCCTCAGAAGTCGATCACCAGGCTTTCTCTCAAGGCACCTCTGGGCGGGTTTGAACAGCCAGCCTTGGGGTTATTAGCCAAATGCGTTAACTGTTTGTGCCACCCAGGGACTCCTCACAAATTTAGAGAAAATAATTCATCAGAAACTACATTTTCTCCATGTATACCATGATTTGATGTTCAGTTCTGAAACAGTTATTTTTAGCATGCAGTTCATATATGGTAAATATATGTATATCAAATATCTTATGTGTCTATAAAGGAAATCCTTTAGCTACTTGGTCATAATTCTTGGAGTTCAGTTCAAGAAAAATCTTTTAACAAAAATTTTTCTCCAGCCCCTGTTATTAGTCTTCCTGGGGCCAGATTATCTGCTTTTTGACTCACAGGGATAAGAATTGTACTTTAGAATTAAATTCTTTAGTATTTACCTGTCAGCTTACCCCTCCCCTACGTCAGACATCCCAGTTGCCCCCAGTCAGAAAGATCTAACATCCTAAACCACACTCGGGAGCACAGTGAAGCACTACAGGAAAGAGGAATGTGTGAAGTGGAAGAGAGGCTGGTATCTTTCTCCCACTGGATTCCACGGTCTTCTCTCAATGTGCCGACTCCCTCCAGGCTGGATACCAGTGTTACGCTAGACTGCTACGTTGAGTAGTGTTAGGATTATACTAACATTTTACTTCAGAGGAAATAAATGTTGTATTCGAATTGTCAGCATGGAGAATTACTGTTATATGTAAAGGGGGCTGGCTTGAGAGGAGGTAGTTTGGATTCTGATTCTGGCTCTGCTGCTACTGGCTCTGCAGCCACAACAATGCATCCACCCATGTACCTCCACGCTTGCCCCAGGAGGTCCTGAGAGTGCCCCCAGCCTCATGCCGCGGGAAAGAGGGCTGTGCCCCAGGGCCTCCTGTGGAGAGGTGTTCCAGGGCTGGTCCTCCTGGTGCTGCCTCTGAGTGCTGCTTATGCCTGGTTGTTTTTCCAGAGGTGATGATGAAACACTTCATAAGAATAATGCACTTAAAGTCATGCGAGAACTACAAGCCCAAATCGCTGAACTTCAAGAAGACTTTGAATCTGAGAAGGCATCACGGAACAAGGCAGAAAAACAGAAAAGGGACTTGAGTGAGGAACTGGAAGCTCTGAAAACGGAGCTGGAGGACACGCTGGACACGACTGCAGCCCAACAGGAACTCCGGTGGGTGAGCCCTTACCTCAGAGCCACACAGGTTATCACAGAGCAGGTCCGGGAACCGGGAAGGGGTTGTGTCACAGTGTTCACTGATGTCTCTTAGAAGGGAGAGCTTTTTGGGAAGTGGTGTTTTTTCCTCTGTGATGTTTCAGAGTGTCCATTCTTCTTCCTGGAAATGATGACAGGTATACTGGTGATGCAATAGGACTAGTTAAAAGCAAACATAGAAATGGTGGGTGGATGGACCAGCAGACCGAGATACACAATTAGATGTGATCAGCAAAAAGCCAGTCAGTGATAAATATCTAGGGAAAGACAGGGACAGACACACACTCAGGGCTGGAAGCAGATTTATAGATGTGCTACCTAAGCGCTACAGATAGGGCCAGGAAAGACAGATGGGAAAACCGAAATCGGAAGGAGTACGTGGGAAGGCAGGCATTGCTGGCAGTACATGCCGGAACAGACGGGCCGGCAAACACATGAGAATGGAAGCGGCATTCTCCAGGATGAGAAGAAAGGCGAGTTCTGGTGCCGCAGCAGAGCCGGGCGCTGGGCTAACAGTGACCCAGCATGAAGACACAGGCGAGCACAGCAGGAAGGGTTCACGTGGACAAAACTCAGACACAGGGGAACCATGGAATGAGCTAGTGATCTGTACAGATAAAAAGGCTAACTGGTGGTTGCTGTGTGCATGTAGATTTGTAAATCTTAGTTCAGCAGCCAGAGTCATGGAGAGAAGTGGTGGAAGATGTTCCTGAGGGAGTCCTGGCCCTCCACACTAACTAAAGAGGCTTCCTTGGCCTCTTTTTATAAAAAAAAAAAAAAATTATTATGATTTGGGTGAAAGTTTATAGAGCAAATTCATTTTCCATACATCAGTTCATACACATGTTGTTTCATGATTTAAAAAAAACCAAACTCACTGCCATTGAGTCATATCCAACTCATAGTGACCCCTTAGGTTTCTGAGTCAGTATCACTACGGAAGTAGATTGCCAGCCTTCCTTCTAAGGAGTGGCTTGTGGGTTTGAACGGCCAGCCTTCTGGTTAGCAGTCAGATGCCTTACGTACTAAGCCACCAGAGCTCCCTTGTTTCATGATATTGACTGTAATTCCCCACAGTGTAATAGCTCTCTTCCAACTTCTGCCCTATAGTGACCTCTTCCCTGTGTCCTTCCCTCCCACACACTCCCCGCCCCAGCACCCCTCCACCCCCCCACCCCACCCCACAAGCTGTCTCTCTGTGCAAACACTGCCCTTCAGTTCTCCCACGACTGATCTTTCCAAGAATTGTATCTACCTGATGTAAATGTTGAGCCCATATGCCTGTCTCTTATTTGGCTGGAAGCCACAGGAGTGAGTTCAGTTCTAGACCTAAAGGGTAACTAGGGGCCATAGTTTCAGGGGTCTCACCAGGCTCTGTCACACCATCAAACCTGGTCTTTTTTCCTTGGTGTCTTTCTGAACACCTGCTTCCTCCCCACTCAGCTTCAAACTGCCAGACCTGAGGCCCACCCTAGGATTCCAGGTATAAGGGAGCCCTAAGTGGCTTGACTGTAGATGTGCTGGCACCACACACGTATATACATGCATGTACACACCTACCCGCTGCTCCACATGAGAGTGTTGGGAAGAGTAGCCCATCACTCTGGGGAGGTTGCTTAGGCCTGGAATAAAACAAGAGCAGAAAAAACTATTTATGAAGACAGGTGTGATCACGGAATAAGAAAATAACCTGGAATAATAGAGTTAATCTTCATTATTATGGATTCTGTATTTGTAGCTGTGAGCATGATAGTGTTTGTCAGGAATTTTGACCATGAGTATATGAGACTCCACCAGTTAACACAGAGTGTGGGTTGTTTTTATTTTCAGCCTTTGTCCTCAAACAGAGAAGGAGGTCCAGAGGCTTCCCATCACCTTCAAGAGAGTAACTCTGCTTTTATCATTTTTAAGTCTTGACCTTCTCTTTACATTCTCTACTTTTTAAAAATCTGGAGACCATGCCTAGGCTATGTTGAAATCTCCATTCTCATCTGGGCTTTTGGCCAAATAAAAAAAAAAATACCAAACTCACTGCCATCGAGTCGCTCCCAACTCACTGTGACCCCTCCTTGGGTTTCCGAGGCAGTATCACTACAGAAGTAGATTGCCCAATCTTCCTTCCGGGGAGTGGCTCGTGGGTCTGAACTGCCAGCTTTCTAGTTAGCAGTCAAATGCCTTAGGCACTACACCACCAGATCTCAGCAGGAAAAAAAGGCTGTGGTCCTTTCTCCCATTCAACCCTGTTGGGAAAAAAAATGCAAATGATAGATTCAGATTTAATTCACAGTGCTTCTGTTGTATGGAGCATTTAGGAGTTCTGGTGGAGTAGTACCTAAGGCACTTGACTGCTAACCAGAAGCCTGGGGGTTCAAACCCACCAGCCACTCCTCGCAAAGAAGGTTGGGCAATCTACCTCTGTAGTGATACTGCCTCAGAAACCCAAGGAGGGGTCGCTGTGAGTCACGGCCAACTCGACAGCATATAACAACAGCAGCAACAACACAGGTCAACCATGTGGGCATTCATGTGCCCAGCCTCTCCATTAGTATCACGCATTTAGTGTAGAAGGAGCAGTTCTCCCATAAATCAAGTACTCAGCAGACTCATTGACATTTAATTTCCCTTCAGGATTTATGATAAAAGACTAGAGGAAACTGGGTGTTTAGCCTGGAGGTGGGAAGGTGAAAGGTTCGTTTGATTATTAACAAAACTATTCACCTGAGAGGTAATGAACTGACCCGCCCACTGCCATCCAGTCGATTCTGACTCATAGCGACTCCCATTGGGTTAAATCTTTACTGTTAAATCTTAACTGAAGCAGATTGCCTCATCTTCCTCTTGCTGAGCAGCTGGTGGGTTTGAACCACCGAACTTCTGGTTAGCAGCCAACTGCCTTACCTACTACAGCACCAGAATTTCTTGACGAACTGACAGTGGGAGAGATTTTGTGTGATGTCCGACAAATGAAGGTAGTGACCGTGATAGTGAAGTGAAATAATCTTGATGGCATTTTTCAGTGTTGTTGGGCTGATGCTATGTCCTTCACCAACCCTCTCTCCAATTCAGCTTCTTAGCAGGACTTGCAGAGGTCAAGGCCACACAAATCAATGCGTGTTTTCATCTCTTGCCCAGCCAGGGACACTTGTGGCTGAGCTGGGCCACGCAGAATCTTTAATGGTATCTTCTTCCAGCTTCATGCTGGCCGCAGACCTCAAACTGGCTGGGCCCATTTTCTTAGGGCACTGCTGACCTTGGCCCTCCAGACTCGCTGCTCCTGTGGGGCCAAGAGGGAAGGTGAGCCATGTAGGAATCAGTGTGGGAGCCACTGTTGTAGCTGCTGAGCTGTTTAAGGTGTAAGTGTAGAAGCAAGACTGTCATCCTTATGCTACAGGATTACTGGAAGGTTACAGCTGATGGAACTCAGTGTTAACACAACTCCTGGCCAGAAGTGGCATTTACCTCACTCAGTCTTTACCAATCTATATTCTTAAAGATGGTACGCAAGTTGACAGGTTTTAAAAGTGGCTTTTCATGGGGGGTGAAATAACTTGGTTATTTGAGTTACCCCCCTGTATAAATAGCAAATTATAAAAGGAGTAGAAAGCCATGGGAACATATTTAATTCTAATATGATCTTCATTCTATAAGTGCATATCAGATAAAGCGTTAGTTTATCACAAAATATTTAAATTCTATAGTCCTTTGTACCTGCTATGCTTCATATCAAACCCAAGTCCCTTTCTGAACCAGGAATGCAACCCATCAGCCTGCCTTCTCATTGTCTGTCCCACCAACAGGTAAACTCCCCCCACAACAGTCATTACCTTGGACCATTCCTGGTAGAGTTTTGGGGTGTAGAGTTGGTTAGTTGATTGCAGCCTACTCTACATCCTGACTGATGTGGCCTTTACCACGCCCTCAGCCTTTGAACCACCACTCATCAGATGTCAGTTAGTCGTACTGTGGTGGCTTGTGTGGTGCTGGGAGGCTGGAGGCCAGGCTGGAGGTATTTCATATCCCAGCAGCGTCACCCACGGTGGACAGGTTTCAGTGGAGCTTCCAGACTGAGACAGACTCAGAAGGAAGGGGCCATCTACTTCTCAAAGAACTGGCCAGTGGAAACCTTATGAATAAGAGTGAAACTGTCTGATGATGTTACTGGCCAGACTTGTCTTACCTACTTTGGTCATGTCATCAGAAGGAACCCTTCCCTGGAGAAAGGTATCATGTTTGGTAAAGTGGAGGGTCAATGAGAAAGAGGAAGGCCCTCAACGAGAGGGACTGACAGGCGGCTGCAGTGATGGGCTCGGGTACAGCAGGGATTGTGAGGCTGGCCCAGGACTGGGCCGTGTTTCTTTCGGTTGTATGTGGAGTCACTGTGAGTCGGAGACAACTCGAAGGATGGCACCTAACAACAACAACAACAGCTTTTGCAAGTCTCTGTGATGGTGTAGTAGTTAAAGCATTGGCTGTGAACCAAAAGGTCAGCAGTTGGAGCCCACCAGAGCTGTGGGAGAAAGATGCGGCAGTGAGCTTCTGTGAAGATTACAGTCTTGAAAACCCTGTATGGCAGCCCTATAGGGTCGCTATGAGTTGGAATTGACTGGATTGGGTGTTTGGATTTACCTGTTTCCAGTTTCACTGAAATATCTGCTAGTATTGTGGCAGGCGGTTTGTTGTCTGGTGTTAACTAATTCCTGACCTACAATGAAACCATACTGCCTAGAATAGTTTAAAGGCTGCTTGGAGTATTACACTATCTCAATTATAAATCAGATGTGGAATGGAAGTTACATTGGTTCTAGAAGGATTTCCTGATATCACCATAATGGATGTGCCATTGGAAAGTAGCATGTCAAGTATTTATCAAAGGAATCGATGTCATATTTAAAACAGAAATAACACTTTAAAAAATGTAAGTTTAATCTTATCAGTCAACTAATTCTGAGCTGCTTTCTTAAAATTTTTTTCCCTCTAGTACAAAACGTGAGCAGGAAGTGGCTGAGCTGAAGAAGGCTCTTGAGGAAGAAACTAAGAACCATGAGGTGCAAATCCAGGACATGAGGCAGAGACACGCCACGGCCCTGGAGGAGCTCTCCGAGCAGCTGGAGCAGGCGAAACGGGTAAAGGAAGTGTGCCCACCAGGCTTCCACGGAGGGAGTCGGCCCTCCGCCGGTCTGACCTTTCTGTTCATTCTGGTATCGCTCAATCCCAATCTCTGCACAGCACTGAGGTGGGCTACACGGGGAAGCCAGTTGCTCATAAGATAGTGTCTACTTTCTGAGGGCTGCTTATGTAGAGAGAAAAGCCATATAGCTGTGATTTATGTTTTTATTTTTTTAAAAAAGGCACTGGATGGGTCCAGCTACCGTCTAAAATCATATACTCCTCTCCAGTGTCTCCTCTCACTAGATTCTTCCAGTGACTCAGCTCAGAAACCTTGAGTGATGTTAAGTCGTTCTGCTGTCATCTGCTGCGGTTGTCACCGAGTCCTGTTCATATTCCCTTTCCAGTGTTCCTCCCCACCCCCCCACCCCGTGGCCTCTGGTCTCTTCTGCAGTCACTGTGCACATTCTTGCCATCATTCCCTTGTTCCGTGTTCTGTGATGTGTAATATACACACACGCAGGCTCTCCATTCTGGGAACCTTAATGCCATTGCCTCTCCAGCTGAAACCAGCCTCCAGGCAGACTGGTCGCCCTCCTCGTTATGTATCGTCACTCCCATCACACATTTTGCTCTTGCCAGTGTTTTCCCGTCTTGAAATATCTTTTCTCTTCTCTTCTCATTCACATACCACCTTTTCTATGATGGCAGTACTACCATTTGTAGAGCATTGACATCGGTGTGTGTCAGTTTCTGTGCTAAGTACTTCATTGCTTTGCTTTCTTTAATATTTGTGACAACTCCTTGGGTGAGTCTCTGCCGTTCCCATTCAAATAATAAAAAGACTGAGGTCATTGAGCCAGGGTCATGTAACTAGTAAGTGGTAAAGCAGATTGGAAGCCAAGCAGTCTGCCCTGAGCCCGTGTAACCCCTCCTCTACCGCTCCTTGGGCCTGCCCTAAGTCACATGTGGTCCCTGAGGCTGTCCCTGTAGAAATTCATCCAGTTGTGAGCACCTTGGGGTAATATAGTGCCTAGTCAAATTACATCCTGTCTTCTTGTTATTTAAATGTGTCCCCTGTGTTCATTTTATCCCAGCAACAAGATTTTCAACTCCTTCTTAGTAAAAAAAGGACAAACACTTTTGGCTCATACAGAGGACTGTGGTGATGGTTACCTTGGGACAGGATGTACCCCCTGCCCTGACCGGGATAAGTTACACAGTACCTGAGCCCTTTAGATATCTGTGTCTACTCCCCCAAGTGCTGTGTCCAGCTGTGGAACACCGCTCGTCATTTTCTAACACTGAACAGATTCTCGGTGTGTGCAGGTGTGTTCCTTACATAGAAATCTTCACACGCAGGGAACAGCAGATGTCTGCATCCATTCATTCAGCCACTGTTCACTGCAGACTCCTTGTGTGCCAGGCACAGTTCTACAGATGAAAAATAAAAGCAGTCACTTTTATCAAGTGTTGCAAAAACACCAGTAAATTATTCTTTCCTTCCTTCTCCTAGTTCAAAGCAAATCTGGAGAAGAATAAACAGGGCCTGGAGACAGATAACAAGGAGCTGGCCTGTGAGGTGAAGGTCCTGCAGCAGGTCAAGGCCGAATCTGAACACAAGAGGAAGAAACTTGATGCCCAGGTCCAGGAGCTCCACGCCAAAGTCTCAGAAGGAGACAGATTAAGGGTGGAACTGGCTGAGAAAGCAAATAAGTTACAGGTAAGCCCAGAAAATCTTTACTCTGGACATACCCCTAGAAGTGTGTCCATAATTGACCCTTCTCATGGCCGTGAAAGAGCCACTGATGGCATGATAGTAAATACTTGAAAACTGCCATCACAGGTAAAAAAAAATCGATCCTTGAGTATACTGCCATTAAGTCAATTTCAGCTCATAGTGACCCCGTGGGACAGAGTACAGCTGCCCCACAGGGTTTCTAAGGCTGTAAATCGTTATGGCAGCTGACTGCCACATCATTCTCCCATGGAGCAGCTGGTGGGTTTGAACTGTTGGCATTATGCTTGGCAGTTGAGTGTGTTTGCCACTGTACCACCAGGGCTCCCTTAGATCCCTAGTGTATAGTAAACTCAGGGTGGCACAGACCATTAAATGTTTGGCTACCGACAAAAAGATTGGGGGTTCACATCCACCCAAGGGCACCTCAGAAGAAAGGCCTGGTGAGCTACTTCCAGAAGGTCCAGCCTGAAAGCCCTGGGAACACAGCACTGCCCTAGAACACGTGGGGTCACCATGGGTCGAAATCGGCTCTGCCACAACTGGTTTGACTGATGGTTTTAGTGTATGTTACTTAGATGCTGTTAAACAGTATTTATTTTTAAAATAGGAAAGTATGCATTGACAGTAAGCATAATAAATTCCACTTGGAATTGTGGTCATAGTCCTTTGAGTGGTTTCATGTAGTTTATAAGCACAGTTTCCAATTCTCCAGTAGCCTAGTAATTGAGAGAGTGGGAGCAATGGGGTGAAAAAAATATCCCTAGTGCTGGTGACAGCTGGGAACTTGGGCTTTATACACTGCTGGTTGGAGTATAAGGAGCTCTGGCAGCATCGTGGGTAAGGCGTTTGGCTGCTGATCCAGAGGTCAGCAGTTGAAATGCACCAGCTGCTCTGTGGGAGGAAGATGAGGCAACCTACTTCCCTAAAGATTTATAGCCTTGGAAACGACTCAATGGCAGTGAGCTTGGTTTTGGTTTTGGTTGAAGTACAGATTAGTACAACCTTTTCTAGGGGACAATTTGACCATTTTGTAAAGCCTTAAAAATGGGAATACCCTTGTTGTTGTTGTTGTTGTTATATGCCATCGAGTCAGACCCGACTCATAGCAACCCCTCCTTGGGTTTCCAAGGCGGTATCACTATGGAAGTAGATAGCCCAACCTTCCTTCCGAGGAGTGCCTGATGGGTTTAAACCACCAGCCTTCTGGTTAGCAGTCAAGCGCATAACCTTAGACCCAATAAATTGATGTCTAGTAATTTATCCTAGGGAAACAATTAAGGATATACACACAACTTCAGCTTTAAAAATGTTTATTGCAAAGGTGTGTATAATTGGAAGTAACTTTATTGTCCATTAATGAACTGCTGTGCAGCCAGTACAAATGATACAGAAGATGAGTAATTATTAGTAAGAAAAGATGTATATTATGTATTGCAGCATTGGAAAAAAGGTTATAGACCATACTGTGTTGGATATCCCTAAGACCAACCCCAGACTCAGTGATTCACTAGAACTCACAATACTCAATATATTAGTCGTGTTCATGGTTGTGGCTTATTACAGTGAAAGAATGCAAAGCAAAACAGGTAAAGGAAAAAGATGCCTGGGGTAAAGTTCTGAGGCACAAGCTTCCAGGAGTCCTCTATCCATGGAGTCACACAGGACAACCTTCATTCCTCCAGCACTGAGTTGAGGCAGCATGTATAAAATGTGGTCTGCCAAGAAACTGTCAATTAGAAACTTAGCACTCAGAGTTTTACTGAGGACTGGTCATATAGGGAAGCCTTGGTAGGACAGCGGCTACTCACTCAGCTGCTAAACCAACAGTCAGTGGTTCGAACCCGCTAGCTGCTCCATGAGAGAAAGATACGGCAGTCTGCTTCCATAAAGATGTACAGCCTTAGAAACCCTAAGGAGCAGTTCTCCTCTGTCCTGTAGGGTTGCTACGAGTCAGAATCGACTCGACAGCAGTGAGTTTGGGGGATTTTGGTTGGTCATCTAGGCACCCTCTGCCCACATGTAAGATTCGAGACTCCTAGAAGGAAAGCAGGGGTTAGCAGAAAGCACATCATCTGCACAATCTGATAGGTGTTCAGCAGGAAAAGGGAGACTTGCCACTGTCCCTGAATGTGGCAACTCTAAAACCTTAAAGAACTTTGGACTAAAAATACTAAAGTTGAAGCTTCTTTACGTCTCTAATAATGTTTCAAGTTCTGTAAGGATAGGAATTATACTTGCCCCAAAAGCACATGTCTAACTCCCCATAGAGTGAAAAAGGATCCAAATGAAACACTTGCTGATCTTACAACCTGTTCACATAGGACACCAATCTAGTTCAGAAACTTTGGTATAAGTTTTGTCTCCTCATCAAAATAAAACAAGATAGTAAACCAAAGTTCAGAGACACTCCTTCCCTGTGTGGAGTCTATATTTAGAATTCTCCCTTGTCCTTTTAGTAGGTAGAGGCTGTGACAGGTGGCATAGTACCTTTGGAGACAGTAGATACTTGGTCTTAAAAGCCTTCCTTAATTAAATCTGGGGGTTTTGAGTTTGTCTGTATCCCTGCGCACACACACCAAAAAAGAAAACCTTTTTTTTTTTTTTTTCCATGTTGCTCTGTTTGTATTCAAGATATGATCCTGGAACCTCTTTATTTACCTGCTGTCAAATTTAACTTAAT